ATTTCCATGGAAACATCAACAGACTCGGAAGCTCGCAACAGGGGCGCGGGAACTTCTTTCCGACTGGGGGCACACCATAATAGAGATCAACCTAGGGTCCCCCCAAATCTAGTTTTCTCACCGGTTTTAGGCCACTTATTTTTCATCCCTCGGCTTTTTTCAACAAAAAAGAAAACATTTCCAAAAAAGTGTGGTATTCCGTCTCAAAGCTGTGGGGGCACCGCCCCCACGGCCCCAGAGTTGGGGGGGGGGGCAAGCTGTCCCCACTGCCCCCCCCCCCCCGGCTCTCGCGCCTATGACTCGCAACGCTAGCGTGGAGCCGAATTCATATCAACCGCCGCAACAATGCAGCAGCGCAGCGCAGCGTGCTGCAGCGCGGGGCCGTGAAACACCGCCCAGGGCTATCCATGTGTCAGGGCAATCCAACCCACGTGATGGGCTCGGCCCCAGTGGAGCATGAAGTCCAGGACTCCCGCCCAGGCCCCCTGTCTCCCCCTAATTCCTATCATCCTTCCCACTCTGAAATCGACCGAAAGAGCCTAACCTAACACAACAATCAGCTCGTTTACCGCTATGTCTGAAATCTGAATAATATTGTCAGATTTAATTAGGGTCAACGGCTTAGCATGTAAATAAAAACAACTGCCACCATCGGTATTATGAGAAAAACAATTGCTTTTCTACAAACACTTTAAAGTTTTTAGCTTAAAACTTGCATGAAATTAATTTTACCAGCCTCGTGTTCCTCTTATCAAACGCTTCGAATGAATCAAAAGCTGATCTTTAACCCTCGCCGGCACAGGCCATTTTGCGTCCTTCGACGGCACAAGTAAAGTGTGGCTGCTATGTGGTTTTCCGGGGTGCTAATCACGAATATCGTGTTAGTTTGGATCACAGATGATGTCTTTAAGCATTTAGACCAGGTCGGGTCAGGTCAGGTCAGGTCAACCGGTAGGGGTTGTGACGGGTATTCGTAATACGTGTCAACCGCCTCTGACAGCTTCGTAACATGTTACGAAGGCACCAAAACTACTTCGTAAATGTTCAAATGGTTGCTAAATTCGAATTCAGCTCCAAAAACTAGCCTCGAAACATTTTAAGTTTCTCAGTGCTTGTGCGAGGATCATATTAAAGCATTTTGATTAATGATTAATGACCTTACCCTCGTAGTTTGAAAAAGTTAGATCAAAACACTTGTTTATTAATAATTTCGAGCACAGCTCTTCATCAGAATACAAAGCTAAAAATGGGCTATATATCATTTTTTTCAATTTTAACTTTATTCTTAATTTAAAGCATATGAATATTTAATTTAAAGGCCTTCCTAAACGCTTATCATCAAATCACATGTTTGAACGTTTGAAACCACGAAAAGCTTGCAAACGCGCGGCTAATGCGAGCCGACATACGCCGAATCGCGTTTCCGGCCAAACATTGTCTCGGAAAAGAGGTCACAGGTCAAAGGTCATTTGGGTCAGGGTCATGAAATTTTCAGGGTAGGTGTAAAATTGATCAATGCGAGGGTACTGAAAGTTTCGTTGCGATCGGCCGTTTTTTACGCGAGTTATTCGCGAAAAACCTTAGGGGGCTGCATCAACCCCCCGCCCTGTGCCGGCGAGGGTTAAAGGTCATTTGAAAAATTTGGCCTATGTTCAAAGACATGACCTGACCAGAAATGGTCATAATGCATAGCAGGATATTAGATCCGTATCGTGGAACTTAACAAAGACTTCAGATGATTTCATAACTTAAGCATGTCTATCAAAAATAATTATTACATGGCTCATATGTAAGCTGGGTGTGTGAACATGCTTGCGAGTATGTTGAACGCAACTGATAATGTTCTGTCGGCCACAATTTCTATATTAATTTATCCTCCCGAATTTCATATTTTTTTAATGACACCTTGACGATGTCGAGAAAAACACTTAGGAGATTAACAGCCTGAGATACACTCAGTATAAGGAAGGTTCAAGGGTGCTAGATTCCTTCCGTCCTCGCTATCCTCAGGAAAAACCAAATCCGCATCGCCCCTAGTCTTCATGCTTCCCTCTCTGGACTGGAGGTCACCCCACCAGCCAACCTGTAGTTGATGTCGGATCCATTCCAGGACACATAATCCTCTTCGTTTGGAAGGCGGCTGGACCGTCCTGACAGGGCAATCGTCCCACGGGAACAGTCTCGCTTCCGCAGATCACTGTCGCTGGCACTCACAACCCAATTACTACACCACAGCATAGTTATGTCATAGCTTTGCAAGGGCCTTTTCAGACCGAAAAAGATGGCCCCTAACAAAACAAACAATTTTCTCATTCAGTATTTTATCTCATCAAGCACCCCATGTTTTCAGAGTGTTTATTATGCGTTCCGTCCAAAAAAGCGCTGTTCAATTTTCTCCCATTGACTTGAGAGTTGAGCGATCTCAAAATTGACCCGACCTTTCTGTCAACAATGTCAAACTTGCAAAGTAAACGTTTAAAATACATATACTGTTGCCCATTAAAATCGCTGAAAGTTCTGAAGCGATCGGTTGGTCGGTGTATTTAGATATGATGAGCACAGGAACTTTCCTTGAGGTAAGGTCACTTGACGTAACCTGATGTTATGACCTTGAATTGAAAGACTTGAGCGGGGAAAAATGGGTCATTTGAAATCTTAAAATGCTAGATTTTAACAATAATTGCAAACACTACCCCGGCCAAATAGTGAGTGAGAAGGGAGCGATTCCCCGACCCCATGTTTAGCTCCTATAATTGAGTTAGCTGCTAGAGCCTCGCGGAAAAAAACGACTAGCGCTTGTGTCGTTACGTGACGCAGCGACTGGCACCCCATTTTAAAATATCAGTGACCTCTTAGGGCAGGTCAAGGGCCCCAAGGCATTTGATCAGTTCTGGGTAAATAACTAAACGCATTATCGTCATTTCGATACATCGTGTTTCTGTTCTCAGACTCGTCGATTTATATGCTTTTTTTGTTTAGGTGAAGCAATTTAGGATGTTTACCTCAGGTCAATGTCATGTTAGGGCAACGCAGGTCACGAAGCTGTTGAAAGGAGGACATGTTGCATAACATTTGATTCGGCAAGTCTTGCAAAGTCCATTGATGGCTGTCCCGACTGGCTAGCTCATTTTGATCTGGAGCTATTGACGAAACACTCCTATGACCCTAGTGACGTCATAAATGACGTCATGCAAGGTGAACACTGAACAATGCAAAAGTGAAGCATTAGACCTTGCCAAGAATGTATGAAGTCACGATTTCATGTGCTTGAGGTATAGTTTCAGATCATTTCCGACGCCAAATTAACAGTTTCCATAATTCCCCATTATGCTTATACGACACTAAGTGCATTGCGGATTGCATCATTTTATAACTGACAACCGTGCAGAGGTTTACCTAAGACCTCATAGTTAAGTGACCTGACCTGAAAACGTGGTTGATGTCAAGTGATCCGGCTTAAATGAAATGTAAGGCATGTGAAATGTCAGCCTTCTATCATCAGCGTGCTTTGAGCTACCGCAAAAAGAATGCATGGTGGCGGCATCCACCCCTTCTTCTCGGCCGGCGAGGGTTAAACCTCGCTTCGAATTATTGCAGATAATGATGTGACCGAAAACAAAGCATTATTCTGTGTCAAGAACGGCCGCTGATTTGTTGGACAAGATCCCCAATCTTAATTCGCTAGATGGGAAGAGAATAAATACTCGGTATTTGATACATATAGTTATACCCCTTGATTTGCCTTCGCGCTAAGTCTATTCTAATCATCACTGTCGCTTTTTATCCGAGATGATGTCGCCGCTAAACGGATTGTTTTGTTTGCTTGCTTGCGCTGAATGGCCATTACAGATTATTGAAGGATTATGATAAAATAGGAATGGGGCAAGGGAGGATATGCACTGCAGGTTTTTTGCAGGAGGATATGCACTGCTAATTTAGATCACAAAGGCATCATTTCCGGCATCGTGCAGAGTCATCATCTTCCCCTCCTCTGCAGTGCGGCATCTCTGCGCCCCACACACGGCGTCCTCACTCCACGGCCGGCCGCCGCCAACTGACCCACTCGCCGGGCGCCGCGACCTGACCCGTGTCGCTGCCGCGGCCTGCGCAATAGAGTCGGGGCTGGAATCCGGGGGTTCGGCCGGCCGGCCGCCTCTGGAGCGGGGGACTTTTTTAGTAGACCTACTGTACATGTTAGTCTGTTCGAACGGTCATTAATTGATTTGCCCTCCACGGACAAGTAGTCGGTTGTCAGATCATGTTGGCCTCCTGCTGAGAGTTCGGAACGCTCAGACACGACAGCGCCGTGCTAAGCCGCTTTCCAGATGTAAAAATACCGTGTGTCGTAGCCCCACGTGGGGTACGGCCGGCGCCGCGCGCGCTGATTGGTCGAGCGGCGGCGGGCCGTCAGCTGTTGCCCGGAATGCGCACGGAGCGCCAGTCTTGCGAGCGACGCCGTGGTGAGTGGTGCGGTGCGCTGTCGCTCCGTGTGACGGTGCGCCCCGAGTGCGCGATAGTGAGAGTGCGACTCACAGGTGCTGAGGAACTCGGTGGATATGTACGCGACGCCTCGACCTCCGGGAACGGTAAGTCACAAACTCGCTGAGAATGGCTCTGGGGCCCGTGGGAACAGCTGGGCCCTGCTTCCGTTTCCGTTTGGCGTCGGTTTTCAAACGGTCGACGAACCGTACCTACTGGTCGTTAGAGCGTATTTCAGTTAGGAATAATATTTCTCAGAACGATTTTTCCGATGTATTTGGGATTGTGATAACCACTTTATCCAGATTTTGTGATGCCAGTGCTAACCCCCGATTCCGGTCATGCTACCGCTGTGCGTGTATTCTATTGACCAGCCACGCTGCGGTGAAACCACATTACCCAGTGCAGTGGGGTGAAGTGCTGTGGGATGTGGATCCTCTGAGTGTCCAGTGGAGTGTGGAGTGTGGACGGCCGAGTGTCGAGTGTTGAGTGGCGGCGTCCGACGTGGCCCCTGTTCGCAGGGCGGGCCACCCCAGCCGCCCAGCCAGCTCAAGTTTACCATATCCGACACATGTGACCGCATCAAGGAAGAGTTCAACTTTCTGCAGACACAGTACCACGCGTAAGTACCGGTCCCACGGCGGATAAACCCAGGGCGGTGGGCGGGAAACGGCCGGGATGTTGAGCGGGCAATTCTCGGGGTAAGTGGAGGGCAACTCCTGAGAAGGGCGTTGGGGAGGTGGCGGGCAACTCTTGGGGCTGCGGAATTTCGGGTGGTGTGGCCGACTGTGGGCAGCTCCTGGGCGAACGGGCAATAACGGGGTAGACGGGGCAGACAACTCCTATCTAACTCCTAGCGCGGAAAACTGCTAGGGCGCGGCTAGGTCCTGGAACTGCGGGTAACTCCAGGGGCGAATGGACAACTCCTGAGGAGGACGGGCGAGCAACTCCTGGGACTACGGACAACTGGGACTATGGGTAACTCCTGGCGGGGACTGACAGGCAGCCCCACTCCTGTGGATGACGGGTAGGTAATCCTGAGGACGGGCGGGTAACTCCTGGGACTACGGGCAACTCCTGGGACTACGGATAACTCCTGGGACCACGGACAACTCCTGGGACTGGCGGGTAACTCCTGGGACTATGTCCAACTCCTGGGACTGGCGGGTAACTCCTGGGACTATGGGCAACTCCTGGGGTGAGCGGCTCTAATGACGGGTTCCTGCGTGTGTGGGAGACGGGTTCGATTAGCCTATGAACGCTGGGCATGGGAAATGGGAGGAGTGGCTGAGGTAGTGAAAGGTTTCTAATTAGGGTCGTTTGATTTTCTTAAGTCTGGCGTGGCTGTAGCGCTTGTTAGGTGCGTATGGTGCTTAAATCAGCCGCAGCACCTAAAATTGTCACGAAAATCGCCAAATTGTGTGAAGTTCTTGTTATGCAAACACGTGGTTTTTGATGTCGATTCGTGTGTAGTGTCGGTGGCTTGGCTTTCTCGTTTGTTCTGGTCACTATCCACTGTCCATTGTAGGTATGTACAGCCCTCAGCAGACTGTGTGGTAGGTATTCTTTTTTCGACAAAACCGATAATAACTCAGAGGCTATGCTATCAGTCGGTCAGAACTCACTGCAAATATATGCGCCATGCTCCACTCCTTCGATTAGATGTATCACTAAACAAAGTATACGCCTTGTGTGGCAACAAAATGCAAAAGTTTGTTTTGGGGGCAAATATAACTTTTGGATTTTGTTGCCGAGCTAGAAGGAAAATGAATACAGTGATGATGCCAATCTAAGGTGCGGAGTCTCGCGTGTCTTCCTGTTACGATTTGCGAATGACCGATAGCATAGTATTCGCATTATTCTCGTTCTTGTCGAAAAAAGAATACCTACCACGCAGTTTGCAGAGGGCTGTACATGTGGCTGAGAGTTACATGATCATTGATCTTACTCGCTGAAAATGAATAGCGAGTAGTCTGCTGAGTCAATGCGGCTCGCGATGAGTCGCCTGTTTTGAATTGATCATTGTTCCCGGCAGGCTGAAGCTGGAATGTGAAAAACTGGCCAATGAGAAGACGGAAATGCAGCGGCATTATGTCATGGTGAGTTGTTTGCCATCAGACGCCTTTTATTTGTGTTTTGGTTAAAAATAAACTTTTCTACAGGCCACGCGTACACCGAGTTCCGTGTGGGCGCTAGCACTTATCTGAGACGGTGCGAAACTTTCACGTTTGGATGTGCCAGAGCAGTTTCCTCGACGACGTAAAGCCGTGCTGACGCGGGACGCCGCCCGAATACAAATGGCCGGTGTCACAGTTCACTAACCCCATCTGTCGGCCCGTTTCAGTACTACGAGATGTCTTATGGCCTGAACGTCGAGATGCACAAACAGGTGAGTGCTGGCGCGCTCTGTGTGTCGCGCGCAAACCGCTGGCGCGCTGTGTGTCGCGCGCAAACGGGCGGCGCGCCCGCGCGACCGTCCGGCGGCGTCCAGTCAATATTTATCTCAAACACGAGCCGACGGCGCGGTCAACAGACGCACCAGAGCGGCGGCGGCTCGTCCTTCCGCCCCCCCCCCCTGCCCCTCCCCCTCGACAGGCCCGCTCCCCTCGGAACGCTCCAGCCCATGATCCACTTCATCACAGCGGAGGGAGCGGCGGCGGAAAAACCCATCACCGTGATCGATATCACGGCCGTTTTTATTTGGTGAAACTCGATCGTCGATCGGTTGTCGATCCAATTTGCATGACCGGCACGCGCGTCAGCTCATGCGAGCTCGACAGCGGCCTGCATAGATACGAGGTATGTTGGCATTGAGTGCGCTATGATGGATGCTGCGCTCAGCGTACCATTCGGACGGCTCCCCGCTCCTTTTTCTGCAGCATATGAGGATGAAATGGTTATCCCGTGTGGTCGTGAATACCTCGCCGCGAAGTCGTAGATTATGCAGTGAGTTGCAGAGAGGATTGACTCCGTATGCAGCTTTTACAGCGTGCAGTAGCCCTGTCCGTATCAATAATGCATGTCGTCTGTCGAGCGACCCGCCCACTTAATTATTTACCGTCGAGCGTGTCCGAGTAAGCGGCTGTTAGTTACCAATGAAATAATGACTGAGGCGATTAGCTCCGGCCTGACACACCCACCTTGCCGAGAGGGCAGGCTCGGTGCCTGGGGCGTCACAGCTGTCGCGGGTCCGGTGCGCCCGACGCCCAGCTCCAGGGCGCCCAAAGCCCGGCTCCAGGGCGCCCAAAGCCCAGCGCAAGGGCGCCCCAGACGCCGGAGCTCGTGATTGCTCCTGTCTGTGACATTTGGGTTCTTGACGTTCGCCCTTGTAACTTCCCTTCGCCACGTTTGCCCTCGTAACGTTTTCCTTTCTTACGTTAGCCGTCTGCGATGTTGCCCGTCAGTAACGTTTGCCCTGTGTGACGTTGTCCGTCTCTGTTCCCTCAGACGGAGATCTGCAAGCGGCTGAACGCCATCCTGGCCCAGGTGATCCCGTTCCTGTCCCAGGACCATCAGCAGCAGGTGGCCTCGGCGGTGGAGCGGGCCAAGCAGGTCACCATGGCCGAACTCAACCAGATCATCGGCGTAAGTGGACGGAGCCGACCGGCCCGGGCTATCACAGGGTTGTGTGGGGTGTATGAGACCAGATCATCGGCGTAAGTGGACGGAATTGGTCGGTCCGGGCTATCATAGGGTTATGTGGGGTGTATGAGACCAGATCATCGGCGTAAGTGGACGGAGCCGACCGGTCCGGACTGTCACAGGGTTATGTGGGGTGGTTGAGGGTGTTTGGGGAGGGGAGATGTCATGGGAGGTGTAAAACACACCGGCAAATAGTTGGTAAGTTGTGACTTCGTTTGTCCTCTTCCTCTATGACTGCGAACAATGTTCATCCACAGGCCTTAGGCATCTCTTTATCCGTGTTGATATGATTGGAAAAGCGTTGATCTGTCCAGCACACCGCAGGCCGTTTAGATAAATAAACAATGTGTGCTCAATTCAAATGGCTGGCGAGTGTCGGCCGTTCGGTCGGTTCCGGCACTGCCTGTCAGCGGCGGCACCATTCTCACTAAAGGCCACCAATCGGGTGGCCTCCCCTCCTCTCTCCCCCTCTCCCTCTCCCCTCCTGGTGACGTGCCGAGCGGAAACAATGAGCTGGGGGACGGCTGGCGGGCCGCGCTGTTTAGATGGATGATGAGGGCCCCAGGGACGCCGGCCCGATTTGCATCTGCTACTGTTGGGGCGGCTGCTGGTGACTGAGAGCGTGACGGAGCCGCCTCCCTCCCCCTCTCCTCCCTGCTCTACCCCCTCTGCTCTGCGCTCCCCTGATACCTCGGTGTCCTTGGTGGTCACGGATTATTGGGTCTGAAGTGATTCACGGACATTTGGAGCGGCGCTTGTAAATGGTTAGCGTCAAGCAAATCGATCGGAACAAATTGTTGCGCGCGGTACACGAGCTAGCCTGATCCGAGGGAGAAACATAGGGATAGCAGCTCAACGAGCATGTTGCTAGTCGGGCGACAACAAAGTTACGATGCCGTGCAGACTGCAAAGCTCGTTAGTACACGTTTAACAACAGAGCTAGCAGGTGGTGTCGCTAGAGCCCATAAAACTGTTCAAACATCACGGCAACCTAGAGCCATTCCTTTGCCTTGATGTCAAACGCTGTAGCGCTGTCCAAAGAAGTACACACTGCCGGGCTGCATGTGTCTGGCTGTGCCCGCCCTCCCCACCCCTCCCCCTCGCCTGACAGGTCATCAATTGACCTGTCCCGGGTGGGTGTGGCCGCGCCCCGACCACCGGCGATACGTACCGATAACGCCGGCACATCCAGCGCTGCGCCGCCGCTGCCACTCCGAATTAGCCGCCGCGCCGCCGCTGCTGGTCGCGGCCAGATAAGCGGCGATTACGGCGCCGCGCCGCGTCGTAAACCGCCCCGTAATGGCCCAGCACCGCTCGAGCAGCCGCCGGCTGAGCCGAAACCAGGTTATCAGTTGAAACGTATGTTAATTATCGACATTTTCCCTGTCGCTGGCCAACGACGACGGCATGCGGCTGCGATCGCGACGCTTATGGCGCAGAGGTTACGAGGGCGGTGGCAATTGCGGCGCGTTCTGGCGTCTCAAGATTGTATCGGTTTTCCTAGCAGCTGCCTGTCAAATGTCTGCCGATGGCGAGTATTGGAGCAATGAAGGCTGATCTGACGGTGTGGGAAAGGTACGATGAGGTCCGCGCTTTGTACCTCCCGCCCTTGAGGGGCGGTGAGCTAATGATAATCATTATTGGTGCTAACTGTCTTCCTCTTCACTGTTATCTCTGTCGGCTTGCGGCGGCTTGCAGTTACTTACGAGGATTGAATCAGATCGTCGACTTGCCGGTCACGAACTAAACTACGTAACAGCGCCCGGGCTCTTCGAGGAATGGAGTGGGTCGGAGTGCCTTCACAGGCGCTCACGTGGTGTGAATTGGGTGCGATCAGACACCAGATAGGGTTTCGCTCGGCCTTGAAATAACATTCAAGGCGATGATGGTGCTCTTCCGCGCTGGCCGCACCGGTTTTGTTCAGATGTGGAGCGCCGGACTGGAATCTCGTGTTTCTGGAGATAGGCATCTCCTCGTGTAGGGACGTCCAGGTTCTCCCCTGTCCCAGACAAGACAGCGAGGAATACATGATGTGACGTGTTCGGCTGAGATCCGATTGGGCGAGATATCCTAGCGTCCAGTACATTAAATCGCAGTTAGTCATTCTTCTGGTTATAGGCCAGCCGTTTTCCCCAGAAGGCAGGATTCCTAGAGGAGGGATGAGTGATGATGCTGTTACTCTTGAGACTAGGGTAATCTGCACTGTGATACTTGAAATATCCGAGCAGTCAAGAGACATCGGTAACAAGGAACTCATTGTATGCTACCAGTCGACTGTCAGATGAACGTACCTCATTCACATTTCCTTGGCTCCATTCACGTTTCTGGCGTATGCAATCTGTGGCTCTGCAGCATCCGCGCCAGCTGCCTTGCATTTATCAGTGGCGCGTTGTGCGCTCATCCGGCTGGCCGGGGTCGTCAGCAGAGCGGTGCTGCGTTCTGTCAGCGATCTCCTGTGTGCGCACAACGCCGCGTATCCGGTGTGGTCTTTGGCCGCGCTCCGAGCGGCCTCAGACGTCAGCTACCGCGGCCCCTTGGCAGTCCCGCCAGCTCCCGCGCACGTTGGCACTGTGGCCGTTCCAGCTGGAGTTACCCGGCTCCATACCTGGACTGCAGGCGGCTGATGACGTGCGGAGGTGGATGATGTTTGATGATGTGCGTGTGTGGCTAATGACGTGAATGTGCGCTGGTTTGCGTTGTGTGCAAAACCACCGAAGTCGGATTAGGCGTTGCCGGATATAGCAGAGCGCTGGCATTCGAGGGTGCTGTGGACTGTAGATTCGAAGGTGTCTGTCGGAAAGGTCTGTTGCAGTTGATTACGTCCAATGATGTTTGCAACGTCATCTGATTTCGTGTACCTCTTCCATCAAGTTCCATGACTGTTGCCCGTCCCAGGGCGTTGTCATTAAGTCACGTAGTTGTGGCGCGGGAAATTCCCAATTATTATAACTATTATCGTCGTGTTGTAATGCGCTCTCGCGACCGCCCCTTCATCAAGTCCACTTAGTCCGCACCCGGACTCTTTCTGTCCCTGTCACACCTTGGTTCACTGCGTTGTTCCTTTTCCTTCTCACAATGTGTCATCTGTTACCGCTTATTACAGTCGTCACTTCTGCTTGACATCTCTCTCAAGAGTGCTGCATGATTTGCGATTGTTGCACCGTTGAACCCGATCATCAAAGCGCGAAATCATCATCCATCACCAGCAAGCAACGTCGTGCCGTCTTCTCACCCTCCCCCTTCGCCTCTCTGTCCACAGCAACAGATGCACGCGCAGCAGGCGCTGAACCCGCACGCGCCCTCGCTGCCAGTGCCGCCGCACGGCCTGCCGGGGATGCCGGGCCTGCCGCCCACCAGCCTGGCCTCGGCGGGACTCCTGCAGTCAGCCGTGAGCAGCGCCTCGCTGCCCGGCTTCGCCACACACCCGCTGATGAAGCCCGAGTTTGTGCGACATGAGGCCGAGATGGCCGCCAAGAGGATGGCGGCGCTGGCACAGGAGGAGGAACGACAGGTGGGTCTGGGTCTCTGTGAAGGTGGTTTGGGCCTGGAGAAACTGGGCTTGGGTCCTCGGGGGTTGGTTTGGGTTTGGGGAGCCTGGTTTGGGCCTAGGAAAGGTGGTTTGAGTCAGGGAAATTGGGCTTGGGACTGGGGATGTTGAGCTGGTGTTGAGGGTCAAGGGAACTGGGTGGGTTCGGGCCCCGAGCGGGAGGGTGGTCCAGAATGACGGATCTTTGCCCATAGCAGTAGCTGGAAGGTGGCGGGGGTTTGGGTGTTGGTGACCTAGTGGGATGAAAAGCGGGACTGGTGGTAGTCATCATTGTTTTATAGGTTGCTTGTCTTCCCGACCGATGCTGATTGGTGCTGACGAAGAAGGGATCTGGGTGAATGCATTTTCAGACAAGTTTGCTGCAATAACGTTTAGTGTGATGATCTTTCAAACTTGTTTGCCTCGTGTTTTTTTTTTTATCTGGATACAATTTCAAGAAAATGGGAAAAAGTTTTGCTGCTCAAGTCAGCCCTGGGCGCAAGACGATGAGTGGTCAATATTTGTTCTTCGCAAACATCCTGCTTCAGTTTCCACTTCATCATATCTTGCTCTTAGCGAGTCCTCGTCCAACTAATCATCGCCAGCACAGCCGAGCAATCGCGCGAGAGCTCTCACGAGTGTGACCTACCATCCTCCAGAAGCGATATCCCATCCCGTCTCGCCCACTGACGCCTAGTCAGGAAGTCCCGGGAGATCCCGCTGGTGGCGGCGGGTCACGAGGCTGCTTTGTCGAGTGGTGCCGGCGGTCGCCCTAGCGGCGGGCCGACTTCACCTCTGACCTTTCGGCCGACCCCGATCAATGCCGACACCGCAACAAGTCCCGTCGAGCCCGGCACGGCCGCTCCGGCCCCGAGCCCACCCGAGCGGAAGGGGAACAAAGTTCTTCCGCGTTGGGCGGTGTAGTGCCGCTGTAGATTTATCGATGTAGATTCTGGCGGCGCAAATGTGAAGGCCGGTTTCTAAGTTTCCGCTGTTTGATGCTGACTGTTGATTGAGGTTGTAGTTTATGGTCGCTGAGAAGATATGGTCAAATTCAACACATTGCTGCTTTTGACCGGGTCTGAGCGAATGTTGACAGCACGATTTGTGCTAGTCATTTCATTCATGAAAGCGAACCAGATTTGTTTTGTTTGGAATGACATTTCAGAATTCGTCTATAAGGATTAAACTAGAATACAGGTTTACGCGATAACTGTACGTTTGGATAGATACTGTTGATGGGGCCATTAGTTGGGTTGTCAAAACTTGTATGTTTATATAAGTGGGGTTGAGTTTGATATATACTTTATTTAATTGTATAGTAGGTAGGTATGGTTTTTCGAGGAGCACTACGGATCCCAAAGTTTGGACACGGAATCATTAAAAAAACACGCCCGCCCGCCGCCAACCGCAAACGCCGCAAAAATAAAAAACGACCGCCTCCAACCGCAAACAACACCGCAAACGCCGCAAAAAATAAAAACCGCCCGCATCGCGCGCCCGCCCGCCGCCAACCGCAAACGCCGCAAAAAAATAAAAACCGCCCGCATCGCACGCCCGCTCGCCGCCAACCACAAACGCCGCAAAAAATAAAAACCGCCCGCATCGCACGCCCGGCCGCCGCCAACCACAAACGCCGCAAAAATGAAAACCGCCCGCCCGACCGCTGCCAACCGCAAACGCCTCGAAAAAAAATGAAAACCGCCCGCATCGTGCGCCCGCCCGCCCGCCGCCAACCGCAGACGCCACAAAAAGTGAAAATCGCCCGCATCGCCCGCCCGCCAGCCGCCAGCCGCAAGCGCCACAAAAAAATGAAAATCGCCCGCATCACACGCCCAACCGCCGCCAATCGGGAACGCCGCAAAAAAGCAAAAACCGCCCGCATCGCACGCCCGCACGCCGCCAACAACAAACGCCGCAAAAAATAAAAACCGCCCGCATCGCACGCCCGCCCGCCGCTAACCACAAACGCCGCAAAAATGAAAACCGCCCGCCCGACCGCCGCCAACCGCAAACACCTCGAAAAAAATTAAAACCGCCCGCATCGTGCGCCCGCCTCCCCGCCGCCAACCGCAAACGCCACAAAAAAGTGAAAATCGCCCGCATCGCCCGCCTGCCAGCCGCCAGCCGCAAACGCCACAAAAAATGAAAATCGCCCGCATCACACGCCCACCCGCCGCCAATCGGGAACGCCGCAAAAAAGCGCTATTTTACCCATATACATATCCTACCCTACCTATACCCTACATACACCCCTACCCATACCCTACTCATAGGCTCTATGCCCACCTTACTCTAGTGCATTCCTATAACCACCAGTAAGTCGTAACATAACATACCTACGTTCTTAACATGAGCGCTGTAAACTACTCTAATTGTATTCTATCACATTCGTTTCTTCAATATCATGGATATTATTAATGCTTTAAATGGTGAAAGGTTGTTCTCTTGAAGATTGCCAGGTAGGTAATCGAGTGCGCATACCTACCCAATAAGTGCAGCTCGCATAGCCGCCCAAACATTCCTTTTTACTCGCTAGATGGCAGGAGCATCAAGCGCCTGAATGGACGCTGTGCCGCAGTGCCGCGTCTGCCGTATCACCGCCTGATTGCATACTGTACCGCAATGTCGCTTCTGGCGGTTATAGCCGCCTGAGTGCATACTGTACGGTAATGCCGTGTTGAAAGTTGGTTCGCTACTCTTAAATGAAAACACAGATTAGGGTGGATAGTGACGGAGAATGAGCGGCAGAGGATTTAGAAGCATTGAGACACATTATTAAGTAAGACTACATGCCAACTTTCAGCGCAATCGGCCCAGTAGTTACCGAGATATTGGAATTGTTGCAAAACCAGCACCTCTTCGTTTTGCACGTGGCACGTGCATAAGTGGTCACCCACGTACATCGGGAATAGTCTAATACTTGGTAGAAAGAATGAAGCTACACTACAAAAATTACCGCATGTAAATCGGTCAAGTGGTTGCTGAGATATAAGCCTCGCAAAAGCGTGACCACGGCCGGCCGGCCTAGAATACAGGTTTACGCGATAACTGTATAGATTCGAGATATATGTTTAAGGGGATTATTAGTTTGGTTGTTAAAACTTGTATGTTTATGCCAGTAGGGTTAAGTTTGTTTACTTACCTCATTTAGCTGTATGGTAGGCATGTAGGTATATAAGTAAGAATATAAAACTGGCCCGCTGCACGTGCGCACGTGCTAGCTGAGACTCCAGATGACTTGTGCCAGCCACCTTTCTAAATTGTCCCCAACAGTGAACAAAATTTGAGCGAAATCGGCCCAGCCGTTCTCTAGATGTAGAAGCGGACCCCTCACGTGCGCACGTGCAATCGATCCACCCTACCTGTTACAAATGACCATGCATCTTCAGGTTAGCGCCCCATCCACCCACAGTCCAAATTTCAGCGCAATCGGCCCAATAGTAGCTGAGTTATTCCTAGTACAATCATGTGCTGTTTACTGGTAGGCGTTTATTTTCAGTGTTTGGAATTCCCCTTTGCGGGTGGTGCATTGCAGCCCATGGTTTGATAGCTATTGTCAAAAGTTAAATGACCTGCCGGCCATAAGCCACCGATCGGATTTCGTCGAAAAATACCTGTAACGTTAACAAAACAGGGTCGTATGCTTGAGTCATTTTCAGAAAAGTTTATTGACTTTTTGATAATATTTTGGGTGGATATTGGTCAGAAAAGAATGCTCTTTCCGAATATGTAGGTTTCATAACCATTTATAAGCTTTTTCAATACGTTTTGATGTTGTAAAGGACACCGCGCTCCACGCGAATTAAATTTTCAAATAAATCTTTCATTATTAAGGAAATGGTACGGATCATCACTTTTTATTTCCTTTCCTCTGATTGCACGTACATTTACCTGCAAAGTGGTACCACACCGATTTCATTCCGTCAAACTGTTTTCCAGCGGCACCGATTTTCTTCCCGTAATGCACGAAATCGGTCATTTTTTCACAACCGGAGGTATTGCCTGGCACGTGACGCGTGCTATACTATGAAACCATGTCAATACGCTAGTTCCATATCTCCTCTATCCATTGGTGGCAACCGCATGTCTCTGCCACCTCGTTTCGCCGAGTAATAAGCTCGAGAAAGGAGCGCTGCAGGCCCAATTTTCGTCCGATCGGCATGTCAGCCAGCCCCGTGTTATCCCTATGGAAGCGCCCTTTTGCACGTGCCGACGGCGCACCCCTGGTCCGATTGCGCCCATCTTTTGATACGATGGTCCGCCCCACCCAAAGTTTGCGCCCAGTAAATTTCACGTCGATACGCGGCGCCGTTCCGGCGCTTTAAGACACATAAGGCATGACACAGCGATGATGACAACTTATAATTTATTAAGTAAGATGACAATGCGCTTCATGATAATTTTAAGAATGATTTCTAATTGTGTGGTGCGGGTTTTTTTTTTCTCCACTGCTGCGCTTACCTACGGCTCTGTCCACTGTGGCATGACCCTGAGTCATGCCTTGCTGTGGCTGCAAAAGGATTACAACCCACCCACAACAAATCCGATTAATATGGCTTACGTCAACGGCTGTGTTCGAAACAAAAAGTGAGAGGACAAAAAGAGAATGACTACGCGTGCAAGTAGATCCGAGCAAAAACAGGGACAGAAACAAAGAGGCAAGAAAAGTGAACGCATGGATACTTGAGCTGTCCAACCAGTCTGTACTGTTGAAAACAGTCGACCAGATAACTAGATTCCTGAAGTAGAGCTGGTGAAGTTCGCCGACCCTTCTCCAGCCCCGAGTGGCGAGGACCGAGCCAGTCGTGTGTGGGGCGAATTGCCTCCGATTGTCGTGCTGTCACAGAAGTCGATGGCCTTTTGTGCGAGCGTCCGCCGAACGTGGTGGACCGTTCAGTGTCGCGCCTTTTTGGCGCGGGGACTGTCACGGTGTGCCACGAAGTGCGCCGGCACGTGGTCACGAACTGCTGGTGCCCTGCACC